ATTAAAAGAAATTATTATTAAATTATTTAGGTGATCGGCATTAATAGTGTTTTGTAGATTTACAATTCATAATTATTAGAGTTACGGTAGGTAGCATGTACTGATTTTGGAAGGTGAGGTAACCACACATCACTTTGGACATTTTACAAAATGTACCAAAAAAACAAAAACATAATAATAGATCTGTAACTAAATGAGGCAATAGAGGACGAATTTGATTACAATAATATCCTCACATGAAGACACAAGAAAATAAATTCTGCGCAAGACGAACGAATGGCTGGGATGATGAAAGCTGGGTTTTATTCGATTTGAAATAATTTATGATGTTATGTCGTTAAGCACGTCAGCCCAAACGGCGTTGATTTCGGTGATTCTTTGCCTCCTCTTTTGTCTTTCTCCTTCAAATTCACGATTTCAAAAAGCAACACATGCACACCCCGCGTAACATAACCTCACGAGTCACCATGAAGAAGCTAATATTCTTCCGTTTGGGATGCCCGTATTTTATTCTTCGATCAAGACAAAGAATGAAAGAATGGACGATAAAACACTACACCTTTTGCATATCAACTCCTTTGGTCTTTTCTCTGGACCCTTCCCCTTTTTTAAAGATTTCGGTAAACTACTTCAAATGGTACTTCTTTTTAAGTAAGCACTATTACATTTGGCCGAATTAGAAAAATAGACTTACTCTGATACATATATATACATAAGATCGGTTACTGTACTAACTTTTTTTTTGGGGGGGAGGGGGGGGGGTCAAGACTCACGAGACTGCACCAATTTAATTCATTAACAATTCGGCACATGTGTGTGTTCTTGCTTAATCTTCAAAGAATTGGTCATATATTCCCAATTTAAAAGAAAACACATGTAAGGAAGGTCAGTAATGAAATACGGTAGGTCACCCTATATATGCCAGATTCCGCAAGAAATTATATGAACGTGAAGGGGAATCAAATGGGTTATGGGTACATGATAATGATATATTATAATAGGAAAAAAGTACCATATTTAGGTTTGAGGGAGTAGGGATTTTTCTTAGAAGACAAACACATGGAATATGGAATATGGCCCAAGCACTCGACAAAACTGCAAATGAGGCACAGAGAGACATGTTGACCGGATATTAAAAGCACGGACAGTGAGAAATCAAGAACGGAAAATAAAGAATTTGATTAAGAGAAATACTAGTTCTAATTAAATTAAAGCAACAAAGCAGAAAGGGCTAAACAGCTTTCATTTCCCGGAGAATCTAGAGCGCATCAGGCGCTGACCGTGACTTCGAAAACTATTAAGAAATGATTAATGTACGTAATCAACAATGAAGAGATGGGGGATTAAAGAAAGTGTTGGTATTCACAAAAAAAAGGCATAAACAAAATAAGAACAAGAGAGAAGGGAACAAAAGTAAAGGGCTAGAGCTTAATAAGGTCGCGTCCGTATATGGTCACGTGAGAGGAACCATGTTGACGCCGAGGAATGTGGTGCTCATTTCAACGCGAGGGTGGGTCTCGACAGGTTGGGTTTTAAGTTAATTGAGGAATATTTAGACAGGGAGAGGGAATATTGGGACTCTGAGGGAAGATTACACATTAGACAAATACTACTCGTTGAAATTTGAACGTTTGGAGGTGGGGAGCGTTTCTCTATTCCTTTCTTACTTACTTTTCTCGTGCGCCTATCCTTATTGGCAGTTGAAGTAGGTGATAAATATGTATGTATATATATATATATATACATTTTTTCTAGTATATCATATGATCAAACTATATATTCCAGGTTTCGTAGGTTACTTGGTAAAGATCCAGCTTCCCAACCTATATGTTGGGTGTTCAATTCCCCCCATTCTTTAAAATTGTAATGGTTTTTTTTTTTTTTAAATATATAATGGTAGTAACATTTCTCTTTACATAATTTCTTTTCATCTACCTCATGTATTTCAATTTAAAAATTTTAATTTGAAGTTACAGATTTTTAATCCTTTCCACATTTTGTTGTAACATTAAAATATATTATTAATTAGGTGTTGGCATTGATTTTGTTTGGTTTTTCATGAACAGATATCCAAGTGGATAGTTACCAATTTCAAAAGTATTTATCATAAGGCCCACTCATGTTCTGTATTTGGTTCAGGGAGAAACCTTTCCCCTTACTTGAATTTTTTAGGGTTAGTTTGGTATTTTTACATATCAATATCATAAGAAAACAAGGGTCAAGTTGGTATGTTTAGCAACTATTTTTCCTAACACAAAATTTTCAATATACAAACTTTTTTTTTTGCATATCATTTGAAGAGAGTTTTCCCTCTACTTTTTTATTGTAATGGTATGTTTGGTTTGAAAGGAAAGAGAGGAAAAAGAAGGGGAGGAATTTTTAACAATTAAATTATAAATTTTTTAAATATTACAATTTGATTAGTCAAAAAATATTATTTTTCTTTCATTTCTCTCAAACCAAACATACTATAAAACTCACTTAATTACTTTCACTCAATTTTCCCAAGGTCAACTTCTTACCATGTGCAAAAAAATTAAAAACATCAATAATACTCCATCAAGTTCATTACAAAACCTATAAATTTTTTATATAATATTTTTAAAATCACTTTTTTAGTAAAACTTTTTTTGCTAGAAAAATTGAATGATCTGATTAAGAAAAAAGTTTGTATCCCTAATTAGATTAATTTTTAAAACTTTGTAGCCAAAAAAATAAATAAATAAAACTTTATAGCCTTATCTTTGTGATAATCCGGCACATACCAAATTGATGAGAGCGCGTGGTGTAGAAACAATGGCGGAACCAGGAACTTGAGGTGCATGTGGGTCTGTGACCCTGATGTCGCCGGACAATCTGACACTGCTTCCCTCTCATAAATAGTCATGGTCCATCCATAATCCTTCCCTCCTTATTGCTCTTCCCAAGACCAAATTTCTCATCTCTACCCCTTCGCACGTGTCCAGCTTGATGCTTGTTGGGCAATCTGGTATTGCCGCGTGCCTATTCATCAGGATTCACGATCACGACTAAAACAATTAGAAGGGAACTTCTTCATATTTAGCGTCCCAAAGCTGCTGGCAAAGGCTATGGTCGGTTAAGGCTGTGCTCCCACCTCAAATCAATTTATGTGTATTTTAAAATTAATATATTTTTAATTTAATTAAAAATAAATTATTTATGTTAAGATTAAGAAATTCATAATAAATTATTTTTAATTTAATTTAAAATTTTTGTATAATCTATTCAGATGAAAAAAAAAAACCTTATTACTTATCAAAATGCCCCTAAAAACAATTTATGTGTATTTTAAAATTAATATATTTTTAATTTAGTTAAAAATAAATTATTTATGTTAAGATTAAGAAATTCACAATAAATTATTTTTTATTAACTTTTTCAAAAAAATCAAATTTTAAGCAATAAAATAAAATAAAAAATAAACTTTTTTTATCAATCAAACTACATCTTTTAAAGTAAAAATAATATAATTTGACTAAGTTTGAGTAGGTTTTTTTAAACAAAAAGCCTATGGGTTCTTTAAAATTAATCTCTTCTTTTCTAAGACTCAATTTTATAATATTTAACTTACAGAATTACATTTGCATAACAGCTATACAGCTATTTTGATCTTTTGTGTTTAGCGAGTTTGATTAGTTTAACCAAACCAAAAATCTAAATAATGAACAAATTCTGTCCAATTGCCAACCATACTAATTCCCTAATGATTATTGTGATTGAGACTTGATTTGAGAATGAATTAGAGCCTCTAAATGGGAAAAGCATAACGATGAGATGAGAGGCTAATAGCTTTGGCAATGAGCCTAAAAATCAAATGGGAATAATGCCACGTCTGCATGGGTCACAATCCAGAGAGAGGGAGAGAGAAATGGGTATTTCAATTCCATTCCAAATATTCCATCAAACAGTGCCTCTTTTATTTACTCGAATTCCAACCATTCCCTGCACAATAAACACCACCATTATATCCCCTTTCAGTACACTCGTCTTTCATTCCCACAGCCATTATAAAGATAAGGAAAAAAATGGTCCTCTTTGCTTCTCTCTCTCAACAAAAGTCTCTGATCTCTCTGCATCCTTAAATATACTAGTTCCCCCTTTTCACTAACTTTTCCTTCAAACCTCCATCCCCAGAAAAACTCTGTTACCCTCCCTTTTCCTGCATTTTTTTAAATCTGACTACCAGTAGTCGACTCTGCAATTTTTTTTTTCCTTTGATCAACCCTAGAAGGGTTCATAGAAAAAGGCCTATACTCTTCCTCCTAGTCCTCCCTCCCCCTCCTCATCCTCGTTTCTAGCAACACTAGCTCATGCAAATCATGAGACACTCATGAGATAATCAAAACATCTGAACTTCATTTCACAAGCTTCAAAGTTGTAACTTCTTTTCATATTCAGACTTTTTGGCCTTTTTCAGTTCCCTCATATGTACTCTGCATCCATCCTTTATTACTCTCCACTTTTTCATTCATTCTCTCAACTTTTCTTGTTTCTTGATAAACTCCCTCCTGGGATTTTTGAGTTTTGACTGAGATCTCCTCTTCTCCATTTATTCCTTTGTCTCCTGTTCCCGATCATGTTTACAAGCTCAAACACCATAATGAGAACCCCTGCTTTCCCCGATCTTTCTTTGCAGATTAGCCCACCTTCAATTTCGGATTGTAGAACTAAGGAGGTGGGTAAATCGTTTTACAGTGATCGGAGTTCGACTACTGATTCCGGTAGCAGTGGGAGTGATTTGAGCCAAGAAAATGGGTTATTTAGCTCTGAGAGGAGTTATGGGAATCTCTGTCCGGCGGAACCCACGTTGAGGCTTGGGGTTGAAATGGCAGATTTAAGTCCTTTACAACTACAGAGAAACGTTAGTAATCAGCATCATCAATTCCAGCCTCAAATCTATGGCCGCGACTTCAAGAGAAATGCAAGAGTCATTAATGGGGTAAAGAGAAGCGTTAGAGCTCCCAGAATGAGATGGACTACCACTCTTCATGCTCATTTTGTTCATGCAGTCCAGCTCCTGGGCGGCCATGAAAGTAATCTTCACCATCTGTTTGATACTTTGATATATATAATCTCTCTATGAGTTTATGGTGCAAAAATGTTTGTATTTGTCCTAAAAATTATAACAAGATTTCATCTTTGCCTTTGCCAATGTCACAGGAGCCACACCCAAATCGGTCTTAGAGCTGATGAATGTCAAGGATCTAACCCTAGCTCACGTGAAAAGTCACTTGCAGGTGGGGTTTACTGTGTGCAATCTCCATTGCTTTGAACTTATGAAAATTGATATATTTTTTTATGATTCTAAATAGTTGTTTGGCACCTTTATTGTAATATTCCATTTTTGTATTTCTAAGATTGAACTTTAGTGGGTGTGGAGAACAAAGGGGTATGGACAAAAGGGTATCTAGTTGGCTAATCTTAGCAATGTGGACTTTTTTCTCTCACTCTCTATTGGTATGTTCATGCAGATGTATAGAACAGTGAAGAGCACTGACAAAGTATCAGGTACTAATTCGATGTTCCCTCTAATTAAATTCTATTTTTCTTCCCCTTTCTTTTCTTTTTTTCCCCCTTGAGAGCTTGGAGAAGTCAAGGTATGAAAGAAGCTCTATCATTTGATCCACTGTTCCATACTGAAACAAAAAGGTTGGGACTGAAAACTGACTCTGGTATCATTGTGATCAATTATTTACTGGGTGTCTGATAAAGCTAGAGCAATGACTTAATTAATGATATTGTTGGTATTTCAGGTCAAGAGCACACAGATTTGGGTCTGAACCAAAGGGCTGGAATTGTTGAACTGGATGGAGGACTATCTAGTGGAAAAGCTGATATCAACCCTTCTAATTCTCCCAAACCATTATCAGCGTCACCACACCAAAATTCCCAAAGGTGAGCTCATCTCTGCAGTCTCCCCTCTCTCTCTGTCTCCTTGCTTCTTTAATATATATCTCACCTACATGATGCTAAAAAGTCAAAAAAAGAAAAAAAAAAAGGTCATTTCTTTTTTGTGGTAAATAATAATGGTGATTTAAATCGATGACTCCATGCAAAGTATATATGCACGCATATATAGAACGCCTTGTTTGTGGAATTTTTTGGTCCAACATGATGTCTGTCATTGTGAATGGTGTATTCAATGATATTATTTATTACAAAGCGTCCCAAGTTCATAGATTTTGATGAGCAAGACCTAGGGTTTCTAGGTAAGTTACTGTTTTACTTTTGCCTACCTATGCCAAGTTCTACATTATTTCAGACCCGTTAGATTATCGTATAAATGTAATGATCCCAACGTGTAGACAAGTCAAGGGTTTTGCAGTCTAGTTCAAATCTCAATGCTGTTTAAATGAGCGTTATCTATGCCACATTTTACAAGGAAGCACACTGTGGACATTGTTGACCACAACCACAACTATGTCTGTTCATAATAATCTGATAACATTAAAACCTTGATATAGATATATTCAAAACCAAATCTCATGACAATTGGTCACCCCAAACATGAATGCTTCTTATTATATGATCTCCATAAATCGACTCTTAATTGATATCATCAATGAAATCTTAAGATCATAGTTTTCCAAACCTTTTTCCTCTTTGAACATTAATTCTCTAAGTTAATCATCCTTAATTTCCATGTTCCCTATATCGCTTTGCATTAACTTGTACTCAATTTCTCCTCAGAGGCTCATGGTTATCTTCATCAAGAGAGGCCATGGATAGGAGTATATCTATGACAATCAACCCTAATCATAGTAAGGTCTGATTTCTTCCATTAAACAACAAGATTCATTAATTAAACATGCTGATGATGAAATTCATTTAACAATTATTTGGATTTTTATAATAGGTGGAGGGCCCTCTTAATCTGTCCAGTAGCGCGAAGGATTGTTTGGATTCTAGCTCCTTGTCATCTTCAGATGCGTTCCTTAACCTAGAGTTCACCCTTGGAAGATCAAGTTGGCAAATGGACTATCCTGAATCATCAAAAGATTTAACACTTCTCAAGTGTTAAGACATTATTGTGCTAGTTAATTAATGAGTTAATTAGACGTATGCTTTTCTTTCTTTAATCTGTGAATTAGGGTATAAAAAAAACCTAACTTGCACGAGTTAATTCCTTGTTCCTTTTTTCTTCAAATTTTGCATGGAGTGGGAAGAAAGAAAAGAATCTTGATTGCTCTATCAAGTAATATTTATTTTTCGATTTCTTTATGTGAAAGAACCAGAGTTCATCATCTATGATACCGATACTTTTGGAATAAGGTACTCTGTTCCTTTCCAAGGGTATGCAGTGCCACAAAGGGGTCCCAATCCACGGACATGTGGGTCAGTTTTAATGTGAAACATCCCAGTCCATTATGTCAATCAACTTGACAAAACAAAACAACTTATCATTTCTACTTTTTGAGAATTATTAACTAGAGAAAATTTCAATATCTCGAAGACTGCAACAATATGTATATCGTCTTGAAATGTCAATAATATTGGGGTATTGATACAGGAGCAGACTCCACTGCCTGTCGAAGGCACCAGTACCTGTGACCACCAACTATACACGATGCATTCCAACATGTTAGATTTTTGGAATTGTCAAATGGGATTTCCGTTGTTCAATCATGTATAAAAATCTGTCGGCAAAATAAGGTGGTGGTCTTTAGATTCTCCATGAAGTCATGTGTATAAGTGAGGTCTCTCGTTCCAAACATTGTTCCATCCCCTCCTCCACTGTCTCATAGTCATCATCTTCTCAATTGATGATCTAGTTCCCAAAGTTGAAACTTGCAAGTAAATCATATATATAAAAGTAAAGGCAATAACAATTATTGCTTGCAACAAACGGTCCTCCCTCTGTTCCAATTTACTGGATGTTTTAGGAGATGTATATATTTTTTGTTTCATTTTATTTGTCATTTTTATTTTTCAATACAGCATTAATTAATTATCTTTTTATATTACCCTCAAACATGAATTATTTCTTTTATTGAAATAAAAGGTAAAAAATAATTTAAAAAGGTAAATTAATACCTTAAACATATTTATCTCTAAAATTAAAAATACTTTATTATTATTTTTTAATTCTAGTGCTCTCTCGTTATACGTCAAATAATATGAAATAGAGGGAGCACTTATAATTAGTAGGAATATCCTACATTTTTTTTTTAACAGCAAAAGACTATTTATTATTTAAATGAGTACAAGTGCTACTCAACCCATTTTACACAATTAAGAAGACAATCAAGAAGACAACTAAAGCTACTCCTTTTGAAGTACTTATAACTCCTGCCTTCCTCCCTCTTGTTACAAACTAAATTGATCAATAATTCTAAAACAAAGATAAACGTTGTGCTTGCAGTACTGGTTCATGGTAGTATTTTTTTGCACCTTTTTCCTGTTCTTATTCTTAAGATGTAGTAGCTCCAAAGAAGTTGTTATAACAAAAAATTGCAGTTATAATAATAAAATTACTAAAGTACAGTAAAACATTTTTTGAAATTTATTTATTAATATTAATTTAATTATTTCAGTGTTGAAACCGTACTCTTTTAATGTGCAATCTAAACTGAAAATTAATTATTAATACCTTCTTCTAATACTAGTCAGTCAGAATGATCAAGTATTACGTGAGGGATATAATCCTAATATCCTATAATGGTTGAAGTTAGTGGAAGCGCTTCTAGAAGATAACAACACCTTACCTAGGATTGTTCTTTTTCTTTTCTTTTTTCCTTTTTTTTTTTTTAATAATTTTTTGGTCTTGATGGAAAGCTAAGATTGTTCCTTCCAATTAGATATATTAGGCATTAGTTGCAGTGTCAGCGTCAATTATTTGTCGCTTACCGACTTGCTGTGATTTATTGCCAAGCTTAAAAAGAAATGGGGGGGAGTAGTTAACATTACAAGGAAACACAGATTATCAAAGAATTTGATGTTAAAATAATTGCAGAATTTGCATTAACGAAATTATCAACCAATGGATTAGGAGTTTCCTTCTCCTCTATATTTTCATGAAAAGACAGTCCAAGAGTATGATGTAAAATAATGGCATTCACAAAATGATGATTCAACGGTTTGTTTAGGTGTTTCTTTCTCCCCTACTAAGAACCAATATTTATTGATTTTATTCTATACTCCAATACGCATAAACTAATTAAGTCTACCAAACAATTGATCCTTTTTCCCGTTCCCATGCTAGCACAATACACCATGTTCACCGTACTCTGCTTTTCACTCTTCCTATTCGCTCTGCTATGGATATCCAAAATTCTCTTCAGAAACAGGAAGAGAGAAGTGCCTTAAGCTGGCGGTGCACGCCCTGTGATAGGCCATCTCCATCTCCTCGGAGGGCCACAACCAGCCCACATAACCCTCAGCACCATGGCAGACATGTGCGAGAATCGGCCGTAAGGGAATTTGTAAGAGAGTTACATCATCAATGGAAGGAGAACAAGTCCAGTCCAGCACTAGTGGAAATGAGAAAATGGTTTTGCCGATCTAACCCTTGCCATGAATATGAGAATAATTGCAGGAAAGCAAATCCGGAGTACTGCGAGTAATGATATCCAGAGGAGATGAAGAAAGACATTGAAGGATTTCATTGAATTTAGTGGGAAGTTTGTGATATCAGATGCCTTGCCCTTTTTGAGATGGTTGGACATAAGTGGGGAGGAGAAAGCCATGAAAAAGATAGCAAAAGAATTAGACCAAGTGATAATGGAGTGGTTAGAAGAGCACAAGAGCAAGAGAATACCCGGCCAGGTTAAAGAGGAATACTTCATGGATGTGATGCTATCCTTGATTGAGAATACAGAGGAGAATGATGCTGATACGATTATCTAAGCCACCTGCCTGATTTCTATATTTGCTCTTATTTCTTACATGAATAATTAATCAATTTAATTAATTAATTACTTAGCAATTTGTGTGGTTACCGAATTGATTGGAATTCAAAGAAATTTTTTATTGGGTGGTGTTGAGCTCGAAAAGAAAAATTTCATGGATTAAATGGGATTTTATTTGTTATAATAAGGCTAAGTGGGGTCTAGGGGTGCTTGATCTGAATAGAAGAAACTGAGCTTACTAAGGAAGTGGTGGTCTGGGTTAGGAGATGAGATGGAGAGTTTATGGAAGCAGGTGGTGTGGGAAAAATATTATGAGGGAAAGCGGGAGATGGATATTACTATTGTTGAGGGGTTAAGAATGTCTAATATTTGGAAAGATATTATTAGTATTGGCGGAAGTCTGTGAGGTTTAGAGATATGTTGGTGAAGGGTTTTAGGTGGGAGGTGGTAATGGAAGACATTTGAGTTTATGGAGGGAGAATATTGGCTTGGGGATAAAGCTTTAAGGGATTTATGTCATAAATTATATGGGTTAGTTGTGGACAAGGAGGGTATGGCTGTGGTGATGGGGGAATGGGAGGGAAATTGCTGGAAATGGAAATTGGATTGGCGAAGGGGCAGATTGGGTAGAGAGTTAGATGAGGAAGTGGTGCTCTGGGAGGTACTGGGCAGTGTGGTTTTAATGGAGGGTAGAGAGGATCGATGGAGGTGGGTACATGATAGGGAGGGGAGTTATGTGGTTAAGAAGGCCTATGAGTTTTTAGCTCCTAGTGAATGTATTCTAGATGAGCAGGTGTGCAGGACAATAGGGTGCAAGTTAGTTCCTTCAAAAGTAAGTTTTATGGGGTGGAAGGAGTGTTTAAACAAGCTTGCAACAAAGGGTAACTTACAAGAAGGGGCGTGGCTATGCAAGGGAAGGATTTATTGTGTGGATTATGTAATGAGGAGATCGAGGAGGGCACCCACTTATTTTGTACATATAGAGAGAATTGGTATGAATGA